AAAGTCGGCCATAGAACAAGCTTAGGTTGACATTTGTGTGTGTGTGTGTGTGTGTGTGTGTGTGTGTGTGTGTGTGTGTGTGTGTGTGTGTATGCTCATGTGTATATATGCATGTTTGTGGTGTACTCATGTCTTGAGAGCCCAGCAAATGGCAGTTACAAGTCCAGTACAGAAAGGGATTGTGGACTCCTGCCTGACACGAATGCGTGTTCCCTCCAAAAACTCTTCCCAATAAAAACATAAACAGTCTGTTTCTAACTACATTGTTTGAGGCAAAGTAGAAGCTGGCAGTAGTTGTACAAATCCAAACAAGCAGCCAAACAAACTGAGAGCTAACACTTTCTGAAGTTTGGAATAAATTAGGCCAGGATCTCATACCACCTCAGAGCCTCATAGAAGCAGCTTATGTGTGTCATGAATTACTAAGTAGTAATATTTGGGGCTTCTCACAGCCATCAAACAGCTGAGGCTTAATTCCCTGAGACTTGCCCTGGAGTGTCCAGGAAAGTGGGCTGCGTGAGCCACCATCTGAGGACAGAGAGGCGTCCGTTCATTGCATTAGTTTATGACATCTCCGATATGTGTAATGTGTTTTCTGTTTTGCCAGAGATTCATAATTATTTACCTATCCTTGTGTCCTAAAAGTGACCAATAAAATGGTTTATAATAATAGATAATCCAGGAGAGCAACTAAGTAAAAAAATTTTTTGTTTGTTTTTGTTTTTTTTAAACTTGTCCTGCCCAGCAGCCTGGTATAGAGTATAATGACCTGGATACCATATTGTGCCAGACAGATTTTACTTTAACAAGAGAGTATTAAAATACTCCTTTGTCTGTTTTATTATTTATTTAATTATGTATTGATTTGTCACCGGGCCGGACAGGGGGGCAGACACGGGGATGGGGGGGCACAAACAGACAGCACAGAGAAAGGACAACACCTGTAAGAGAAGGGGGATGGAGGGTGGGGACAACAGGGAAAAGCTGTGGGAAACACCAATTGCAGAAATGTGTGTACATGTGTGTGCGCATAAGCCTGTTAAAGAATGTAGTTGTTAGTGAGAGTGGGACGCCACGACTGTAACAGGCAGGCAAGAACCGCAGTAGCTAATAGGGGTGGGAGAAAGAAAAAGAATAAATCAAATAAAAAAAAAACAAACAAACAAACAAAAAAGACTCCCAGATGCACTGCGATGCAAACGCGGAAGACCCCGACCCAAATGCCAGTTGACAACGTAATGCCGATGGAACGCAAAAAGCGTAACCCGCGGAAGAGCAGCGCCCGGACCGACCGCGGCGCGCACACAACATAGACCAGTGCTCCCCCCCATCCAGCACCCCACCGCCGCGCAGCAAACAACCAAAATGCCCAAATGCCATGCAATCATCAACACCAATGCACAAGTGACGAGCCCAACGCGCACACTGCACGAGCACGGCGACACCCATGCCCAGCAGCCCCCCGCGAATCCCGCATGCGAGGTCGGGCAAACGAGAGCGAGCAAACGGAACAACACGACACCGAAAGCCAGCGGAGAGAAACACCAGCAGCAAGTCCCAGCCCGGCAGCAAACGCGCTGCACAGGTCACCGTGCACCCGCCAATAAAAGTCCACCGTCCCCCCAACCGCCGGAAAAAACTAAGGCCGCCGGCGCCAGCCGACATCCCCCATGCACCGCGCGCCCCCCGGCCGGCATGCAACACCAGCCAAACCAGCAACGAGGCAAAATCAACTAGCTCAGCTGCATGCCACCAACAACCCACCCACCCGTCAAGGGCCGAGAACTCCAGGCACAAACCCAGAACAAACCGGAGCACAGCCCTGCCCCGCACCCACACTGCACATCCCGAAAACTAACTATATACCTCAGTATCCAGAGGGGTCCAACAACTGGCCGACAGAGAAATGGGCAAGCACGGATCCGAGGCCAACGAAGCAAAACAGGGACGCAAACAAGTCCCTCCAAGCCAACGAGGAGATGCCCCCCCCGGACTCCAATGCACAAACTAAACGCCCAGCAGCCATCCAGAGACCCTGCCCAGGGAAAAAGTATAATGCATCAAGATGCATCGACAATCGCCCCACAATCCCACCACAGCCCACCAAACCGCAATTGGATCAACCCGCACAGAGACCCCCACCCCCAGAAGCCAGGACACCCAGACCGCATGTCCAGGGGGAAGCTGTACCCCGCCCCAAGGAAGAACAGCAGAAAGCCGTGCCGGGAAGCTCCCTGCCGCCAGGGAGCGATAACGCGGGAGAACCAGGCCAACGGTCCCCCAGCCCAGCCAGAGGCATCCCTCCCTACAGTGCAGGCAGTGACAGCAGCCCCCGAGGCCGATCTCATCCCCGGACAGGGGCCCAGCCCCCCCCAGTCAAGCACCCCCAAGGAGGAGCACCAAACCTACCCCGACAACACCGGTCGTGCGCCCCAGAGACTCCCGAATGCCCCCACCGTGAGAGAGCTGGCAGGGGGAAGCAGCGGGAGCCTCACCTCTGCCGAAGAGGGCCCAGGCGAGGAGAGGAGACAACGGGCCCCCAGGCCCAGGGACATACCACCCGCCCAGAAATGAGCAAAGGCCACAAGCCCGAGTCCGCAGAACCCTAGGTCATAGGCGGGCCCCCACGCCAGGGGAGCCCCGACTCCCCCCAGCCCACCCCAGATCAGGCAAGGCCGTCACCATACCCCACAGCACCCCCGACGCCCGGGGCTCCAGGGGTAGGACACGAGGCCAATGAGAATCTCCCCCACTCCTTCAACCCCTCTGCCTGCCTCTGTAAATGTATTGTTTTGTGTTGGATGCATGTCATGGATTGTGAAGTGTTGTATGGTGGAGTAAAGATAAGGTGTGTGGTAACTAAGGTGCAACTAAAATTGGAGGGTAGTTGTGACACAGGCACCCCACAACTGTCAGGTAGTGGAGCCTCCCATCGTGCCCCTCCCACCCCCCAAGCCCTCTGTGTCTAATGTGTAATTAAAATTGAGGGGCAGGCAGTGAGGGAGGAAGAAGTGCGAGGCCGCAATAAAGCAGCCCCACCCCCCAAACGCCCTGCAGGCTGCCCGCCCCCCAGGGTCCTAAGGGTGTATGTTGTGAGACATGACCAAAGGGGGAAAGGTGAAGGAGGTCATAGTGAGGCTAGAAGACCAGATTCCTGACTAGCCCCATCATTTATTCAGTCCCGTCCCCCACCCCCCTAAGCAGGAGGACGCCAGGTCCCTCCAGCCCAGGGCTTATAGCAAGAGCCCCTCTAGCACCGGCAGCACCCCAGAGTCAGCGACAACCCCGCCCATCCCCCACTAAGTACATTTGTTTTTGAAGTACTTACACTTGTACTACGTAATGCTCCTCCTACTAAACTATTGTTCTTTTTGTTCCACTACACCTCGGTCGTTACTACTTACTTTCATATTAAGATATTACATATATTACAACACATGATGACCTTTTAAAATCCAATTCATTGGTATAGATTGTACTAGTGGTCCCCAAGTTTTTGACTTATGACCAATTACAGAATAGTTATTTCTACTTGCAACCTCTTGTCACATTTCAGAGCAGAGCAGTTTCACCAACGAGAGATTCCCTCAACACTTCTCTCATGGTTTTAGTTAAATGATCATTTAAACTGTCCAAGGCCCACAGAGGTTATGAATGTCCACTATGTGACAAGAAAGTCCAAATTTGAATACAAATTGGTGTAGCAGAACTTTTTCTCTTTTCATTCTTTTGTACTTCCATCATCTTATGACCCCTCCGATTTTTCTTGTGACCCTTCGGAGTGCTAGCAAACCCTAAGTTGGGAACATCTCCACTTCAACCACCTACAGCAGTAAAATGCTGATGCATCAGTTTGAACTGTCAAATAATGTACTGTAAAAGATTATATCACTAACACGGGCCATTTTTCTGCAGAACGAGTACTTTTACTTTTGATATTTTAAGTACATTTTGCTGATTATACCTCTGTACTTTACTTGTAATACAGTGTACTGTATTGGTACTTTTAGTGTTTAGCTGTAAATACAATACTGACATCACTATTTAAGTAATGGCAAACCTGTTAGCAAAACGTTGTGTTTACACAACCAACTGATTAGCCTTAATTTGGAGTCCTGTTTGTGGCCACTTGAAGAATGTAAGTCCATTATTCACTCTGCTTTTTGTTCTGTATTTGGTCACCAACAACTCTTAAATATCTGGATCTTTAGCTTGTAAATGCTGAACTAAAGTTTGTCTGTTTGCAGCTTGGTGCCAAGTAGGCTGTGTACAGTGGATTTTTAGAGCTTGCTGCCTGCTGTGGCTCTATTAGAGAGTGGTGAGAGTGAACCAATCAAAACAATGAGCTGAAACTCACTATAAAGCTCCGTAAAGCTGAGGGGGAGCTGCAGATTCAGGTGATAATTCACTGTAGGTTCATCATCCCCTTCACATAGCCACATTGTTTTCAGATTGTTTTCGCACTGGCATTTGCTACAGATTATAAAAATATCAACTCTATACCTCTTCCACTAATAATAGCTAAAACTGTTGAACCCATAATGAAAACAAACACAACCAGCTGTGGTAAAATACTTTTATAGAGCAGTCATCCATATCTGAAATATAGCATCCAAGCAGAGTAGCTCTGATATGTACAGAACTCAACTCACTCATTGAATTTATATGCTTTTTATGTAAATATGTGGTGTTCATTTGTTTATGCATGTGCTTGTGTGTGTGTGCTGTATGTGCATGTAGACATATGTAATAGTTTGTCATCAATTACAGTATATTAAAAGTTTTAAATACAGGTCATAATAATTATTTTTAAATGTCTCTGGTTATAAAAGCTGGTGTTCTGACCCTCATTAGTCCATTAATGAAGATGAATCCTTCCACTCAATCTTTTTCTCTCTTTGCCTATAAACTCTTTTCTTTTCATCTTTTATAAATATTCTCCATCCACTCTGCTGTATTGCCTCTTGTACTGTGCCCCTTGCCCCTTTCCACCGCTATATATTCTCTTTATATCTCCTAATTGCTTCCTAACTGTGAGTCATCTTGTGGACTGAACTTTTGCTTTTATTTGACTTCAGCACTTTTACTTCCCTGCACCGGTATCAAACCTGTAAGTGCTGAAGAGGCATTTTAAGAGCAGTAACAACATGTGTGCCCCAGTCAAACCATTCTCATCAACTCCAAAAACAACAGCTAAAATTATAACCTCTGTAACTCTTTGTCCTCCCACAGTTTTATGTTTGCATTTTAATTCTCCAGTTCATTCCACACTTGTTTTTGAATCAAATCTCCACAGTTTATCTTCTGTTGTTTTTCAAAGAAGGGTATGCAGTGCACTAAAGTATCAAAATGTCTTTCGCTCTATCCTCTAGCCCTCAGAGGAACCAGAAACATTTCTTCCTGTTCTTCTTGGTGGTGGCAGGGGGTCGCACCAGTTGAGGGGAGTCTTGTTGGTTGGGTGTGGTGGGCTGGGGAGTGGCGGGCTGTGGTGAGCCCTCAGGAGGGTCGCCCACCTTCCATGTGCGTACCACCTGCCCTTCCTGCAGACGAAAGTCATGCTCTACACTAGAAAGAGAAACAACGCAGGAAAGTGTTGGTTATATGTTATATGTTATGTGTGTTTAAACCTGCAATAACAGATTTTTGTTGTGAACACAACATTGAAATATCATCACCTTTGAAATTGTTATGACGAACTTCTTAGTAAACAGTTGATAATTTACACATCCAGCAGTTATGGGGCAACATTATCATTCATTTGGAGTAATGTTCCTGACCACCTGAAGAATGTAAGCCCAATATTCACTCTCTGTTCTTGGTCTGTACCAACTCTTTAGAGAAATATCTGGCTCTTTAGCCAGCCAGATGTTTGCCATCTATTTACTAACTGTGCCTGTCTGCTGTTTGATGAGCAGGTAGTGTACAGTGGGTTTTTAAAGCTTTTTCACTGAAAACAGCTGCCTGCTGCTTCATGTGATAGTTCTCTGTAGGCTCATCACTATGAGCACATTGTCACATTTTTATAACAAAAAAACAACAATTATAGCCACATTAAACATTGCATGAATAAAGACAGAATGCACAGCACCAGATACAAGGAAGAACTAGTGTGAAAAGCATTAAAGAGAAGCAGTGAAGACTCCCACACCTGCCAGTAGACAATAACGAAGCTGTTGACAAAGTGAATCAAGCGCTAAAATGCTGAGTATCACAGAAATGTTGCAGCACCAGGAGGGATCGTGGGACTGCAGTTGACACACACACCAAACTAAAGTCAGCAAGGTGCATTGTCACATGACAGCACAGCTCAGGGGCTTCACTGCCGAAATGAGATTTGAACTCTGATGCACCTCTGCAGAAGCTATAGGTAAAGGTAAGCAATAATAAATGAATGCATCTGCAATAAAGGAATAAGGACAATATTTGCTTGCTGAATTACTTTTGTCAGCAGTTACATGTTGGGTAAGCTTTCCCCCCATGAACTGATTCCCCCTTTCTTTTTTTATTCATTTTACTTTGCTGCTATTCTTGCTTATTATGCAGTGGCCTAGTTAGATGGTGTTTCTCATCAAAGCACAGATGCTGGAAATAAAGAGGACTCCCTCGGTTGAGGATACGAGGAGTGCTGCAGAGGAAGCAAGAAGAACTGAGCTCAGCAGCAGCAGCAGGGCCTGGAGTTTTCAGGCAAGAACAATGAGGACTCTCGCATTCATATCCATCTGGCTTCATAACTCCCACTCCCTCAGTCACTCAACCACTTCACTCTGGATGCCCACTAGTATTCTAATGCACAAAAAAGCAAATGAAACATCAAACTCCAGACGGGAGCACAGTGCAGGCAATGGGTACGGACAGAGTAAACAGTTAAAAAGTGAGTGGGTGCAAAGAGCAGTGGAGAGGATTTCTTCCCTCCGCAATATTTACAGCAGGTAGGAAAAACAGCCACCTCAACTAAACCTTTTTGTGGTAGCTGGGACTGCTTCACAGCCTGAAACAAACCTCCAAAGCTGTGTAAAATGAGGTGCTAGTCAATAGGAAAAGTAAGCAATGGAATTTGTCTGTGCCGCTTTTCCACCCTGAAATGAATAGAGTAAATAAAGTACTCCATTCCACCATCTTCACAGTCTCCTTATTTGTGCCACCATACAGCTCAGCTCCCTATAGAGCTCCCCAGTGGCTCTTGCCTTGCGTCTGCTGTGTTCCCTCTATGTGAAAATGAATAGCCCTGGTCCACAGCTCCGTGTCATGAAGGCACATTGGCGCTGTAGGGAGCAGTCCACCCTCAACCTTAATTATCTGCACACTGAGCCCACAAACTGTGCCAGGCAGGAAGCTGGGGAACCTAACAAATTTCTTTCAGCTGCTCCTCTTCTGTCCTCTGCTCACATCTCAGCTTTATCGGCTATAGGCTGCATCCTACCTCAGGTCGCACCTGTGGGTAAATTAGGCGTGTTTTAAGGATGATGCAAACCATAATATAGGTTTTAGAAGTGGGAGCATGAGAGAGAATGATGCTGCTAGTGTGCTGACCTGAGTGTATAGGTGGCAGTTGCAAGGTCATTTTAATTCTAGTGTAACTAAAGTGGAAAGAAATGTGTTTTCACATTAGTTCCCTCCAGTGCAGAGACAGTAGGTGTGTTTACATTGTGTTTACACAATAAAGTGACAAGAATACATAAACACTAATACACAAAGAGATAAACCATGAAGAATGTAACTTTAAGAGTACATCCCCAAAATGTTAAGATGTCTCAATAACCCAGTTTAATCGAAAACAAAAAGGGCAACATAGAAATGGACTGTATTCATTTAGCCATTAGAAATAATGCATAGTTAGGGACCCAAGCTAAACAATCTAAAAATCTTTTTATCAATAGGGAAAAAGACTACAACACTATTTCTGTGATGAACTCTGGTGTACCCTTGCAATTTGTTGATGATGTCACTGATTGTGGAGTCCCACCAGGTGTGGGATGTATGTAATCTAATTGTATTACAACTCCGAGTCTATAACCTCAGAGTTTCAGTGGGAGGATCAAAGTGACGCCAAAGTTTATTACAATATTTCTTTCTGTAAAGCTTGTGTCAGTAATACACTATCCATTCCCAATGTATGACCTTACTTTGCACGTCATTCCATCCTTCACTGTATGAGTCTCCTCTTTTTTAATCATTCATTTTGGGAGATGGTGACCTTGCCCAAGAGCACTACCCCAGCGCATCTCTAGAGGGGACTTTGAATCAGCAGATTTGTAGTTACCACATCATTTGTTTGGAATTCAAGGTTATTCAAAACTCCCATTTAAAACAATTAGAGAAAACTAACAATAACATTTGAAATGTTATTAACATTATTACTGGCTATATAAATTATATATATCATATTGCTGTGTATGGTAATATAGCTTTTACTACAGTCAGATGAACTTACACACAGTATAGCGTGCTGGCTCTCAGAAGAAAGAGCAGGATACTTGCACCGCACTGCACTTTGTGTAAATGAGGATATTAAGTGCTGTCAGATTGGATACAGGCAAAAAATCTGACAAGCTGAAAACAATATTTTAAAACAGTATTTTAAAATAATATAAGCACAGAGGTTGAGCAGGGCTTCATCTCTTTTTCATCCTTCTATCTATAAAACATTCATACAACAGCACTAGCAGGAGATCATCATTCCTCCTCCTCTGTGCTTTTGCTGAGTGGTGGAGGAGAGACTTCAGCAGAAATATAGCAGTGCAAAGGCAATCAACTCGAAATATCTTTGCAATTTTCTCTCCTATAAGCTGAATATCTTTTTTTTTTTAAAGAATAGAACATTTCATTTCAGCAGGAATTACATGAGCAGTAGATCTCTCCGTAGAGAGCGCTGTTTGTCTGTCATGAGGTACCACACCCACAAATGCATGCATATGCCAACGCACAATACCACAGATGAATGTGTATGTGTGCATGCGGGCACATGGAAACACCTCCATCTACTGTAACCACTCAACATCCACCCATACACACACAGACACAAACACACACAAACACAACATCAACAACCTTCCTATTACTTCTCAGGAGAGAACAGGCTGTACCCTGAGGTATTGCACTCTTCTCGGACTATTATTCTAAGATGGTCCCACCAGCTGCTTGGCTGTCACAGAGCGTCCCAAACAGTGGTCTGGCTTATAAAATCCTCCTTCGATACTTACATTAACATTCACATTGCATTGATTTTGGAGTGTGATGTTAACAAATATGTGCGTAATTTAAAAGACTGTAACAGTATATAACATTTCATGGTAATCTATCCAACTGGTGTGATTTTGTTCAGCTCATCCATTGCAATAAGCTTACAAGCAGCATCACACTGAATGCTTAAGAATAAATGCACTGCCTCAGTGTTGTTTGAGTATTTGTCAATGCACTCTTCATATTTTCACTGTGTGTGAATTCTAGTACTTATCAGTAGATTTAGCTACAGTGCAAACATAATTTTTGTTGCTCTTGAACAAAAGCTAAGGTATATAATGCCATCAAAATATAGGAAAAGTAGATGTTTGATCAGTACTTCAGAAGTCATTCAAGTCTGTCAGGTGGAGTCTGTGACAAGCAGAAACTGTGTGTGCATCATTTAGCAATATTGGACAGTAAGGGCAGTTGTATATTTTGCAGGTCAGGGATTTGGCCAGGCAATAAAACCTGAATGAAACAGAGAAATGATTAAATAAAAAGTAAAATCACAGGCAAGCTCATAACAAAGAGGAAAGGGCACCACAGCAAGAGTCTACAACCATGCTAGCAGCTCTGTAGGCTGTACACAGCAATGTTTTTAGCTAAATGCTAACGTCAGCATCACAATGACAATGTTCATCATGTTCAGCAAGAATTATTCAGTCCCTCCAGGATTTTGTGATGTCAAGATCGCAACTATTAACACAAATTCAACAAACCCCGCAACAATTACTAAAAAGGCCCGTGAAGTCCTAGAGGGACTGATTATTAATTATAGAAATTAGCACTAAACACAAAGTAAAGCAGAATGGAGTGTTATTAGTTTGCAGGTATTTGGTCAACAGTACCACTGTGCTCTGAAACCCATTATTTCCAATGGCTTGTGCCACACCACAGCAGCTTTTCACTATGTTAAGAAAAAGCAGCAGTCGACGCAGCACAGCAGTGTGCTGAACTCAGCAGTAAGTGCAGCTCAAATCGCCTTAATTTGAAAATGTTTTAATTTTGACCTGATGATGGCACTACATGAAAGATTAAGGGATAACCAAATAACTAACTCTCCTGACCATTCAATTGTTGTTGAAATATTTCTATCAAAACCACAAATGTTAACCTCATGGTGGCACTAGAGGAGAAGTCTGACGATCACCATACTCATCCTCTGGGAACCATGAATGCTTGTGTCATCCATAGAGCCACGCTGCTAGCATGGCTAAAAAATGTCTCAAGACAGCGAGTCATTTACAGGTTTTGAACTATGTCTGATACCTGGAAGTAATATAATAAATCAGTACCTCAGGATGACAGGCTTAAAACAAAATACGAAAAAACAAAATATGAGT